TATATATACACATATATACATATATATATATATGCATGCATATTTGGCAATAAACTTCAAATATATTGTTTCTATTGAAAGATCACCAGTTTAAAAGGAATAGTTTTATATCTCATCATTGTTTTTAAATCGACTGCCATTCACAAAGCATCATGGGACTATTTTTTTCTTCAATAAAGTCATTACGTACACAATCTTTGCATTGTTGTTTAATTAAAAAAAATATTTTTTTTTTGCTTCAAATAAAAGTTTGTAATGTTGTGATTCACCTTGTAGTTGGTTGGTTTGGTTCACAGCTTGCAACACTTTAACCAGGACTTTCCCTATGAGAAAAATGAATAGAAAAATGCTTCCAGAACCAACGCCACTCAAAAGTAATGCAAAAGACTACTGATGTTGTGGAGTAAAAACATGTTATAATGTTCTCTTTTGTTGGCCAACAGTAAGGCCGTGCAATTAATCGCATACGATTGTCATGCGCATCTCGTCAGTAAAGTAAATGCCGTAAATGTAAATAAGTAGTAAATGCCGCTCCATCTGAAAGCAGGTGATGGAGATTTACTACTAATTTTTTTCTTCAATAAAGTCATTACGTACACAATCTTTGCATTGTTGTTTAATTAAAAAAAATATTTTTTTTTTGCTTCAAATAAAAGTTTGTAATGTTGTGATTCACCTTGTAGTTGGTTGGTTTGGTTCACAGCTTGCAACACTTTAACCAGGACTTTCCCTATGAGAAAAATGAATAGAAAAATGCTTCCAGAACCAACGCCACTCAAAAGTAATGCAAAAGACTCACCTTATTGTCTTCCCAGTAGAGCGCTAGACACTGGTCACCAGCTCTCCAGATTATGTGATTATTTGTGTCCGTCGGCTCTCTCTGACCTTTGATTGGTCCAGATCGTTTCTTGGGGGCGGAGTTATGCGTGTTGGTTTGTTTCTGAGGCGGGGCTGAAGACTGCGGCTTGATTGGACCGGTCCGTCTGTGTTCTAAATCACCATTAGGGAGCTGCACGTTTGAAACCCCACCCACTTTGATGCACTGACCGGATCCGGCATCCTGCGAAAAGTCTTTTTTCGTTGCATCTTGCGAACGCTCAAAGTAGCCTGATTTGGGTCTTTCTGGCTTGCCTTTCCTTCTGTTGTTGGGTTCGTTTCTAGCTTTAGGATCCGAGCCTGACGCAGCAGGATTTGAGGATTTGGGTGCCACGGGTCCGTTTGATTGGTTTTTCCTAAAAGAAGCCAGTCCTGTCCCATCCTGCTCTTTACATCCGCCGTTATGTGGTTCCTGCTGAAAGCTTTTCGACCCGTTATGTTCCTTTCCAGAGAGACCCTGCTGTTCCCTGGGCTTCCCCATAGAGGTGTACGTATTTCTAGCATCTTGAGCATCATTCTTCCATCGGTCTGATCCTCCTCTTCCCGTTCTCTCTCCGTCCCTCCATTTCTGCGGCTGGGAGACACTGAAAGAGGCCGTGCTGGGTTTAGGAAAGTCTCCATCCTTCTGGAAACGTGGAGGCCTGTCGTTTCTCTGCGAGCGTCCCTCGTTTCGGGGAGGGTGTTTGGACTGGGCGGAATCTCTGAACATTTGATCAGTGCTGGGGAAAGTCATCTTATATTGGTGCTCTTGTAGTGAAGGCTGGTTCTTTGAGTCTACAGGGTTAATTATAAGAAAAACAGTAAGGCAACTGGTTAAAAATTGTAAATGAATGAGTGGTGCGGTTTCATCTACTACATATAATCAAAGCAACAGTAATAATAATATTATTATAAAAACTATTTTTAAGGAATATCACAATGTTTTTTACATTTTAACAGTAAACATTTTGGTTTTGCATTTTGTAAAAAATGTTAATAAATTATTCAACTCTTAAAGGTTTTAAGAATTCAATTGATTAGAAATGCTTTTTGCCAATTAAAATTCAATTACACCGTTAAAATGGAATACAGAAATATTAAAACAGAACACACAGAATTTGGGGAAAATAATACAGAATTTGGGAAAAATAAATGGATTTCATAAAAATAACTTATACTTTTAATAAATTGTTGCTAAATTGAATACGTTTTATTAGTGTTGTCAAAAGACCCGGTATTTCGGTACCAAGTCGGTACTAAAAAAATGAAAACGTTACGGTACCAAGTAAATGCCGTAAATGTAAATAAGTAGTAAATGCCGCTCCATCTGAAAGCAGGTGATGGAGATTTACTACTAATCACGGAACCGGCTTTACTGACGAGATGCGCATGACAATCGTATGCGATTAATTGCACGGCCCTAGCCAACAGGTTTAGAAACGCTTCTCATTGCACAAGGGAAGTTTAGCTTTAGGCGTTTTAATTTAAGCACGTTTAATGTAGCTCGCTAACGGTAAGTTACTGCATTCACGCATTCATTGTGCTTTTAAGTTGGAATGTGAAAGCAACATGAACACTAGCGTTACTACAAAGATGTGTTGGATTTGTATCATCAGAGCTTTCCGACTTGCGTTCACGAGTCAGAAAACTATTTTTCTGATTATTCTGACACCACATAAATGCAGTATAATTTAACTAGCGATCGCATGCGGTGATGACGCTTCTTACGTCCGTTTCGGAGCACCAGAGGGCAAATATTTCAATCGACAGCTCAGGCATTTAAGTGGCACCGAAATCTGCATTCTGATTCGGTCATAAAGGTACCAGCACCGGGTTTCGGCACCCAACCCTAGGCATAATAAGCATAAAAATGTGCACCAAATATCGGGCAAAAATGATAAATACTTTTTAGACTTAAATCTAATCTTTTAAACAAACAAATGAATTAAGAAAAAAAGCAAGCAAGCGAGAATATTTATAAGTACCATTTCTCTCACTTTGGTATGATACTGAAGTTACTTTTTGGTACTGCTAAAAGAAGGTATTTTAGAAGGCAGCAAAATGATGAACACCCACGATGCTTTAAAATGCTCTGGGTTTTGTAACAGAGCTCAAGGTTTTTTGGGTAATCTGTTGCTTACCCACACGTCCATGTGCAGAGGTTTGATATTGTGAAGCAGAACTTCTTCGCAGTTGCCGTAGTCGCTGAACACAACCACAGCCGTGGAGCCCGACGGGTGGATGGCGTCAATTCTCGCCCGATAAAACTGCCACCAATATACAAAGATGTTTTACAAGAACACAAAAGGGAAAAATGCAATAAAAGCATACAGAGTGTAATTTGGTTCTGGAAGACTCGTAAAGACTAATTTTCAGAAAGGTCATGTTCGGCAGGGCAGCGCTGCAACCTTTGATGCAACAGTAGATCTAAATATAACGCTACAATCGACACTTTTCACCATTAGTTAATCTTGTGACAGCAAAAACACATTCCAGAGCTCCACATGTAATACTCATTTCATATGCAAAGATGCTAGCCAATCACAGCAGAGGGCGTTTACATTGAAGACTCACAGAAGACACACCCCTTCCAACAGAGTTCAAATCAGAGGTTGAATTCAGGGTAGAAAATGACAATTTTTATCTAAATGATGATGTTTTTGATGAAAATACTATACTAAGATTACAAAGACTATATGTGCACCTCAGGAAACATTATAAAATAATTTTTAAAAAATGCATTTGATGACCCCCTTTAAAATAATCATGTTTATAAGCATAATAAAAAACTACATTATCCATGATGCTATACAGAAAAGTCTGCCTCCAAACGATTTAAATAAATAAATAAATAAACATATACATATATACATACATACATATACATATACATATATATACATATACATATATATATATACATATATATATACATATACATATATACATATATATATCACGTTTAAATAAGTAAAAAGAATGGCATTGGTTTTGTACATTTAATTTTTGTTTAACGTTATTAATAAAAATGTTGTTCAATTAGCATGTTTTTGTGTTTTGCTTTGGTACCGAAATTGGTACCGAGAACCGTGGATTTTCACTGGTATCGGTACCGAATACTGAAATGTTGGTACCGTGACAACACTACGTTTTATGATTCTTATTAGTCAGACATGCTTTTTGATTATGGAAATTTAATGTAATCTTTAAAAAGGGAATCCAGAAAAATTTAGAAAGGGGGGGGACAGAATTTAGAAAAAAATAAAAAGCAATTTGGGAAAAAATAAAACAGGATTTTGAACAGAAAATAAAATGGGTTTCATAGAGCACTGATAAAGTTATTACCTGCTATGCCAATGAATTAAATGGCACATTTCAGTATTTGCAAAGAAAAGCCCCTAAAAGATCATTTAAACTCAATGAAAAGCCTGTAACCTGCTGTTTTGCACATTTTTAGTGCCTTGCACCATGCATTTAAATGACCTTTTACGATGTTGAGAAATGTCAAGCGGTAATAAAGTTCATTCAAGAGAGCTGACAATCTCTTCATAGAAATATCAACTTAAATGCAGGACACAGTGATGATGCAGGGCACTTCAAAAGCACAATTACAGTGCGTTTCAGGTCATTCTGACTCAAAGCAAGAGCCTGAACGTTAAAACAACGGCACTGAACGAGCGGAAGACAAACGTTTCTCCACATATTAGCCATGTCCGTTTTCTCCTAAAGCCATATGTCAGGCAGAGCTTACAAGCCGCAGAGACTTATCTAAAGCTGACTAATAGAGCGCCTTCATTTGGGACTGGCCATCTGTTTGACGCCGCACAGTTCTGCAGCCCACTGGGACTTCAACATAAGAGGAGATTAAAAATCCTGTTACAATGTTCCCATTATTAGGACTGGTTTTGTTGCAAATGCAGTAGGAATACATGCTTTAAAGTGATCATTTACAGTCATTATTGCAAAATAAACTCTGATCATAACCTCAAAATGAAGCAGGGTCTTTTATCATGCCGAAGGGTTTATTCTGGAAGCTAACCATACATTATCCCACTTTTAATACAGATGCTTACTAAATAAATAAATAAATGTACACAAGTTGCAAAATTATCAAAATATTATCATGTGAAGCAGGAATCATGCAGATATAAAGTGTTTAGTACTTCAGTAAGTTGGCTAAAAGAAAAATTTTTATTGTTAGGGTTAACTAAAACTATATAAAAAAAAATAGTTTTCTTTAATCAAGCTGAAATAAAATAAAATATAAAGAGCAAATGAAAACCTTAAACTTAAAAAAAAAAAAACTTAAATTAGAAATGTTGTCTTGGCAACTAAAATAAGCTTAAATATGAAGTACTAAAATTACTTAATCTATAAATAAAATAAAAATAAATTAAAGCTAACCATAATTACAAAATATAATAATAATAATAATATAAAATACATTAATAATAATAAAATATACTGTATAAAAATACTAAAATTAAAAAACAAATAAAATAAATTAATAAAATTTACAAAAATGGGAAAAAATGGATGTAAATTCAGCTTTGCATCACATAAATAAATTATATTTTAAAGTATATTAAAATAGAAACCATTATTTTATATTTTAATAACATTTTGCAAGATTACTGTTTTTTTGATCAAATAAATGCAGCCTTGATGAGCAGAAGAGACTTCTTTAAAAGCATTACAGGTCTTACTGATCCCAAACTTTTGAGCGGTAGTATATGTATGTATATATATAAAATACTACAAAATATAAACTAATTTAAAATATTAATAAATACTAAAATAGTATGGAAATAATACTAAAATAACACTGCTACTATTTGAAAGGACAAAAAAGGCCCTTATATTATAAGCTTCCAAAATTGGCCAATTCAGATATCAAATTTAAAGAAGCACTAATATTGTCAGCATTTTTTAACGCTCCATAAAAACAAAGGTAAAACAAATTCAGTATACCGTCAATGGAGAATGTCCCCATTTTTGACTCCAGGAAGTCAAACAGTGTGCTGGGCACAGATGGTCTTCCTCCTGCTTCTTCATCCTCATCTTGTCTGGAGCGTCCTCTTCCACGACCCTTTCCTGTCAGTGAACAAATAAACTGTCAAACTAAAAGGACATTGAGTTAAAGACAGTTTACACAACAAAGCAAAGCAAAACAGCAATGAAAATTTTATTTTCCTTGTACTCAAAAACCAACAACACTAATAACAATAACATCAATCTGGGATTATAGTCTGGATTGTCATTAAAGAAACTGTTCATCCGAAATGACCATTTTCTGAAAATTTGTTTATATCACTGTCTCAGCAATGGATCCTCTGCAGTGAATGGGTGCTGTCAGAATGAGCTGATAAAAACATCACAATAATCCACAAGTAATCCATACCACTCCAGTCCAGCAGTTATTGTCTTGAGAAGAGAAAAGCTGCGTGTTTGTAAGAAACAAATCCATCAAGATGTTTTTAACTTCATACGTTGATTCCAGCTAAAAGTCCTTTATGCATGAGATGACTTTCTCTAGTGAAAAAAGTCATCTGGTCTGAATCAGCAGAGAAATCTGCACAGATCAAACACGGTTTACAAACAAAAACAGCCCAAAACAGTTCAAAACAAATATGTTGGTGGAACACGCAGCTTTTGTCTTCTCCAGATGTTAACTGATGGACTGGAGTGGTGTGGATTATTGTGATGTTTTTATCAGCTGTTTGGACTCTGACGGCACCCATTCACTGCAGAGGATCCACTGGTGAGCAAGTGATGCAATGCTACATTTCTCCAAATCTGATGAAGAAACAAACTACATCTACAACTACATCTTGGATGGCCTGAGGGTGAGGACATTAAGCAATTTTTCAATTTTGGGTCCTTTAATGGATTTTATGGCACTAAACAAAACTGAATAAAACAAGAAAAATTTATCTACACAACAAGAAAACATATCGACGCATTTTACCTCGAGGTGGTGGGCGGCTCTGCTCCGTTTGGGCCGCTTTGGGCTGGTTTGTTCCGGTGAGCAGGAAGTTGAGGGCCACCTCCAGGTTATTGTTGTTATCCAGCAGGGCCTGTCTGGCCTCCTCTCGGTGAAAGCCCATCTCCATGATGTCCCTCAAAGCGCGCTCATCAACCTTGAAGAGACAGCAGCAGCATCAAACAGCAGAAAGGAATTTGATGAAGTTGAGGGTCATCAAAAAATGCATTAAAATCAGGGACAAAAGAACAGATGAAGAGAACAGAAAGCATTTTGTCTTGTAATAAAAAAAACAAAAAACAGTCACATCGGTGCTTACGTTAGCCATCGATTCATCTTTTATCCAGAGAAGGCATGCACTCACTTCTCTAGTGGCATTAGAGAGAAATAATGCCATTTAATTTTAAGTCCATCATACAAACTTTGGGGCACTTGACGTATTTTCAAGGATAGTTATTTAAAGGGGTCCTATCATGCTTTTTCACTTTTTTAATTTTAGTCAGTGTGTAGTGTGTATGTTTGGGCATAAAAAAGATCT